ACTATGGGGTCATCATGAGGCCGCCTGACCCTGCCCCGGTCTTTCTCAGAGATGATGACCTCAGAGAATGTGTTTTTTGACGCCTGGCCCTCATCCACTGAGTTGACCTACAACTTTCTGATGTTGTCCTTGGTATCCTGAATGGTTGGACCCCCTCCGGCAAAGTCGCCTGCTATAGTAAAGATTTGCTCTTCATCAGTGTCAGAGCTTATAGCAAGGTTGTCAGGCTTCTTGGACGGCTGTCCATTGTTAGTTTTGGGGTTACCCTTGGACTTCAGCATATAGGACTTCAAAGCCCCCTTATCAGCGAGACATTCCAGTAACCGCCTGTGACTATAGCAGCCAATGGTGTCATGGCCTATATTCTCATGGAAATGACAGTACTTGCTCTTGTCCCGGCTTTTGATAAGACTTTTCATTGCAGCCGGTTTTTCAATGGTCAACCGGTCTTTGATCTCCATGAGGATGGAGGAGGAGTCCTTGTTGAACTCGAACTTGGGGACGTACGGCTTCAACTCTCTCTTTTTCTTCTGGAACGGCTTACCAGAATGATCCGCCACCTAGACTTCTTTTCTTTTCTTATTCTCTTCTTTTTTAGCTGGTTGAGCAAACTGGCTCTCCTTTTTGTCGGACTTTTTAGGGTCCGACGGCTGCTTGATGGCACAGAGCTCCGTCACCTGTATGTAGGCTTCGGCCTCCATCAATGCTTCTTGGAGGGTAGCAACCCTCTTTCTGACCAGGTCTAACTTAAAGGTCGACCCGTCCTTCAGACCCTTAAAGAAGTCTGTGTAGGCGACTTCGTCAGACAGTCCTTGAATCTGAATTCTCATCAGATTGAACCACCTGACATAGGACCTTAGTCCTTCTCTATCTCCCTGCTGAATAGCCCCCAAGTCGAGACTTGTCTTTTTGGCAGGGATGTTCATAGAGAAGTTGGACGCGAACAGGTATGCAAGCGTCTTGAAGTTGTTGATGCACCCGGCTGGCAGATTTTCAAACCATCGTTGGGCTATGCCCTTCAATGTCGCCGGGAAGCATCGGCACCAGGCAGCGTCATCCAACCCCTGTAAGTACATGAGGTTGGTGTAAGCCATTAGGTGGTCTTCCGGGTTGGTGGTACCGTCATAGGTACCAACCAACACGTTCTTAACCTTGGCCGACTGAGCCGCCTCGGTTATCTCCCTAGAGAACGCCGACGGCTGTTCCCCAAGGTTTAGCAGCCGGCGCTGCCAGTCCATGGGCTGGACATTTTGTGCCGCCTGACCCCCAAAGAGGGTCGACTGCATGTATGGTTATCCTTACGGCATGTATGGCTGTTGGGGCACATATGGAGCCGACTGGATAATCTGAGGGCCAGTACGTGCGAAAATGCCGCGTGACTGACTCTCTCGGTTTGTTTCCGAATAATTTATTGAAGTATTCTGGAAACTGTCTGGGTAAGTCGACGTTAAGGCCGACTCAGACAATTTTTTACTTCTCTTCTGCTGGATTAACATCCGGGCATCTAAGTAAGTCCTTTTTTATCCATCCGGTTGAACTTGCCGGATGGCTTTCCTTTACCCTGATTCAGGGAAACGGAGCTTTGGAAGGTCGATCATGGACCCATCCGCCCCCTTGGCTTAGGGTGTGGAGTAGGCACACGATCCTTAACGTGCTTCTTCCCGGAGAGAGAAGGCTTCTTGGCCGACTGACCCTTGTTGGTGCTAGTTGACTTGCTTATAAGGTCCTTGATGTCCCTTTTGAAACTCGTCATGAATTTCATGAGTTCGTCTCTAGTTACGGGGGCAGCACCCACCGCCGCCTGGGGTCACGCAGCCGGCTTGAAGGTTGGGCTGCTAGGACCAGCTTTGTCCTCGCCCCGTTCCCTTGTTTCCTTGGAACGGGTGCGTCTCGTTCTGAATGACCCGTCTGGGGCCACATAGGTGTCGACCTCAAAGTCGTCACCACTATCTTGGTCCGTGTGGACCTCAGCTTCGGCCATAGGCCGTTTGCCTTCAGCAGGCGGTACAGACTCTGATGCCATCTCAGAAGTACTCTCCCCACAGACGGCGCCAAATGTTTCGGGGTTTTTTGGAGTCCCTCGGGAGAGTTACAATTCCAAAAATGCGCGTTAACCGTCTGTACCTGAAAAACCACGAAAACTCCGGTTGGGCGAAGTTCGGCCTTCGACGATCAAGTTAGAACGTTTCCGGATGTATTAAAGTGCGGAATGTAAAGGTTTTTCTCTCGGATTTCGAGAGAATTCTGCAATTAATATTGCTCGGGTTTTGTGTGTATATTTATGAATGTGTAATAAATGAGAATTTTCCTCTATTTAGTGAGAGGAGATCAATTCTCCTTTCATAGGTTAGAGTGCCACGTGTCACTAGAGGAATGGTTCTATCAGAACCTCTCTTATGATGACACGTGTCAGCATGCGATTGGTCCACGTGGACAGGGGTATTTTTACCCTAAACAAATTCAATAATAACTTTTGTACCTAAAATAATAGGTTGGTGGTTGTTTAATGGTAAGATTAGATTATTTTTCCTTATTAAATAAGATTTTGTTGGTTATTTAAATGGTAAGATAAAATTACTTGATTTACATAAGATAAAAGGGTAACCAAAAAAAAAAAAAAAAAAAAAACCCAAAAAAAATGAAGCAAATTGGAGGGAAATTTTTTACTGTGACAATATCATATCAATACTACCTTACGAACTGAACAAAATTTTATAAGGAATTACAAATTTTAATTAGTTATAAACGAAGTATACAATAATTTATACAAAAAAGATGGATACAATTTTTTTAAATAAACAAAATAACTTGAATTTCATACTTGTACTTAACAATAATTTAAATATAATACGCATATAATAACTTAAATTTAATACCTAAACTATGCATTATAATTGAGACATCTAGGTGTAGGCGTCGCTCGAAGTATTTAGGTTACTCATGAAATTTTCTCTGTTAACTATTTAATTGACACACTTTGATTAGCACATGATTTAGGTAATAATATAATTGATTTTTTTTTTAAAATACTACGCTTTATTAAAGCATTGAATACTATTTTGATGGTATAAGTTGAAAATAAAGTGATGGAAATTTTGTACACCTATACGTATTTTATTTGTTTACATTAAAATAAAAAATGAAAATCACCAAAGAATTAAAGAAATATGCAAATGATAATATCATAGACATCTTAGTAATAACATTATTTTTATATGTAATCATTTTTGAAAAATAAGAATTACCTAATATGAAAGGTATAATATATATCAAATAAAAAAAATATGGAAGATATATATTAACTAAACATGGAAGTAATATCTTAGGTGATATTATATTGTTTAAGAAGATTTGACAAAAACAAAAAAAAATTTAAGAAAAAAAAACATTTTGGAGGGAAAATTTTTAACCAGATGATGACATGTGTCACTTCTGATCTCTCTTTTAGTATATACTGTAGTTATTATTGATTGATGATTCTCCATTTAATTTCACTTTAAAAATGTAAAGAAGAAGTTTGATCAAATTCCAATCTTCTCTTGAATGAAAATAGTTGATTATTGAATTTCTTCCTATTTCAGTTTTTTTTTTTTTTTTTTTTTTTCCCAAATTCTTATCCATATGCACTTGTCAAAAACATCTCTTGATTCAATTTTCAACACATGGATAACTTCCCCTTCAATTTCTATGGATTTATTTCATGGCAATATAGCATTTCCTATGTAGAACCTTCCCTTCATGCCCTCCATAAACCATATCTTAACAAGTTTGCTTCATTCTTTTTATTAATTTGTTCTGCCATATTTATTTTTTCTAGATACTATTGGTGATTGTGTTATACAGGGTACCAATGGTAGTAATTCATTTCATTAATGTCTGTTAATAAGATACCATTTGAAGTAAACAAAAAATATGTAAATGTTGTTCATGGTTAAGCTTTATGTTTAGGAAAAAATGCACTTTAACAATCCCAACTATGGGCAATTTAATTCTAATAATCCCAACTAAGGTTTATTATCTAATAATCCCAACTATGAGGTTAGTTTGCCTCTAGAAGTCCCAATGACCGGTAACCTGCTGAAAGGGTAAATTATTATTTATTTATTTTTTTTAAAAAAAAAACCCACGTGTCAGCATGTAATTGCTGTAAAATTTTTAAAAAAAAAATTATATATTAAAACAAAAAAAAAAAAAAAAAAAAAAAAAACCAAAACCCATTCAGCCACCTGCCTCCCCCCTTCCTTCCACCATGAAACCCTAGGGCCCAACCCCAGGCCACCAAAAATCCGGCCGACGACCTCCCCTAAACCCCCTGCAAATGGTCGGCCGACCCTCCCTACTCCCAAAACAGCCCAGCCAGTCCACCCCACCCCCTAAACCACCCTTTCCCATCCCTCCCCCTTGCCGGAAAATTAAAAAAAAAAAACCTTAAATGCTGCTTTCCCTCCCTTCCCCCACCCACGAAACCGCCCAGGGGACCATTTTCAGGGGTTGGGGAAGGGAGGAGGACCGGTTTCGACGATAAGGGAAGTGCGAGGAGTTGTTTTCGAGGGCCGTGAAAGGGAGATGGGTGGTTTGGGGGGTGCGGATCGGCTGGCTAAAGTGCTTTCGGGGGTTGGTAAGTGTCGGCCGACCATTTTCAAGGGTTAGGGAAGGCGGCCGGCCGATAGGCTAGGGTTGAGATTTGGTGTCATGATGGAAGAAGGAGAGGGTGAAGGTGGCTGTTGGGGTTTTTGGGTTTTTTTTTTTCTTTTTTAATTTTTTTTTTTTAATTTTAGACCAATTCATGTTAACACGTGTCTTGATAACCTATAATAAAAAGGTTATTGACCACTTGTTGACCGGTTGGGACTATTAGTGGCAAAGTGACCCCATAGTTGGGATTATTAAATAATAAACCTTAGTTGGGATTATTAGAAATAAATCGTCCATAGTTGGGATTATTTAAATGTATTTTTCCTTATGTTTATGGGTGATACGCTGGTTAAACATGTAAATGCTAGACAAAAATGAAATAATTAAATCCACCTTATCAGGAGATCTGTATGAGTACATGCCTGTATGTACATCATTCTATATTCCTGAATACTGTTAAAATTTATCTCTCTACACAAGGCATGAAGAAAAGCATTTAACTGGCATATAAATTCCTCTATACAGGCATAAAATGGAGTTGCCCACTTTGACGAGACAAACCCTAGCTAACTTATACATTTACAGAATCAAACAGGCTACTCCGAGAAAGACAACCTGAATTAACATAGGAGATGATAGGTCTCAGGCATCAGTTGCAAACTTGCAATTTGCTCAATCCCTAGTTCAATTGCTCAATGACCCTGCAGAGAAAAGATCAAATTATAAATTTTTATTTTTAAGAAAAAACTATAAAAAGTACAAGAATGGAAGACAAATCCTCATAAATCATAACGGCAAAAAACAGACAACATATTAGTCCAACTCCTTTGAAAATCCACCGCCTGAGTAACTTGTAAAAAAACCCTGCTGCCTTAGCCAACAAGAAGCTAAACAAGTTATCCTCTCCCATAGCTAAAAACTGCTTAAAGCGACCTGTGAAAATTCAGTCTGTTCTAAACACTTTAGGAGAAGATTAAAATCATAGCCGGATATATCTTGATTAACTAGCAGTGCTACTATTCTTCAATAGATAGGGTAAACTTAGCATGTTAACACATCTGAAAGCAGGTCTGCTAAAAAGATTCAATATGGGTATATACAATGCAGTAATAGCAACAGTAGAAAAAACAATATGTTACTGCAAGAAATATATAATAATACGTATTAAATTTAGGTTGTACTTGTAATAGTTATTGGTATCAAATCTGAAAAAATATTGGATTAATAGCGCATCTATATTCTAAAGGAACATGTAATAGTGCATTGATATCTACTTAACCATGATCCAATTACGAGGAAATATCTGGCCAGCAAATCAACCACTTCTATTGATCAAATTTCTCGCTGATACAGGTAGAGGTCCACCTGGGAGGAGGGTTTGAGGGGGATGGGAGCCCCTCAAAGTGGGATGAAAAATTTGAAACCCTCCACACAGCAGGAACATAAGAGAGAAACCAGCAGCTCACCTCCTGATCCTCTTTCTGTTGATATCATACTAGTAATATAAGAGTAGCATATCAAGTTCTAAGGACTAGAATACTGTCTCATTATTGTTATTGTATACTTCTGTACACTTTCACAATAGTATCTTTAATAATGAACTGCTAATTGACACAATTACCACCCCAGAGACAAACATCAACAGTAAGATAGATAACAACACAGTTTGGGGATTTCGTGTTATAAAAGTTGCATGACCTCCTGATCCTTTAAATAAGAGACCCCCTTTCCAACAGTTAATTGACTTAGATCCACATGCAGCTCATTCCCTAGTTGTTTCCACTTTTCTTAAACCAATTAGCATTATTGTAAGAACCAGACATTTCAGATTATGTGCTTAGTCATTCCCTTTATGATTTTCAGTAAATAAAAATTCGTCCTAATTCATCTAATTCATCAAGAGAGAAAAAAACAAATCAAAGAGCGAGCTTATCTATACCTGACATTTAAGAAGCTGTTAAATTATGTGTTTGTCCAAATCTCCAACTACAACCTGTCCTCAGGTCTAGAAAGTTTCTTGGACCGAAACTTTGATGATGACTTGATGACATCAATTAAAGTAGCATCCTCGTCTACTTCATCCTGCTCATCTTCCTCATTAGGAGCTTCCTGGTCTGATGAACTAATTCCATCCTCTTCCCCACTTGAACTCTGCTCATCAAATAACTTTTTCCCCTGGAGATTACGCTGCTTGGGTGGTCGGCCTTGACGTCTTAAAGAGGCTGCTTCTTTCTCTTCAGCACCTGAAATCACATTCCACGTCGTCAAGACCATGGATTAGCAAGCTTCTTCAATTACAATGACAGCAGTTCTATTTTACCAATTCAGCTGCAAGCTAACCTTGCTAGCTTTTTTTTTTTTTTTTTTTTTAAGGAAAACGTCACTATCATCTTTAATAGCTAATATAATGGAAAGCAGCATCATTCGACCTATCCAGGGGAACAGAAAAAAGATTTCAATTAACGGCCCGTAGATATTTCATACGACAATATTTTCATACTATTATGATATGTAATTTATTTAGTCATTGAACTTTTATTTATATAGAAAATTCCATCATGCAACATTTTGTCAATTTGACAAACTTAAATAGTTACATAACTAACAAGACAACAAAAGAAAGCGGACAAATAGTGAGTGCAAAAAGGAGGAAGGAGGGGGGAGGGGGGGTGGGGGATGATAGATTTGAGGGTTTAGCTAAAACAAGTCGACCTAGAACATGTTGGTTGACACATTAAATACCATGTTTATTTGGGTTAGGTATTGTGTAAGATTACAATTTGACTATTTGGGCAGGTTATCTAGTCAATTGAAACTTTTCCAGGGTACTTGCCTCAAACGAAATTTCCAGGATAAAAAAACATGGCAAAATGAATCAGCAAATACAAGAAAAAAAAAACTATCCAGGTTACATTTATTCTGGAAACAGTATGAAACAACTAATTCAAGTTAAATCCTAAAAATGGAAACAAGCTCTACAATGGTAAGGGGTAAGATTGAGCACATTCGATCTCCTCAGTGCAACCCATACTAGGTTATAGGTATTAATCGTACACTCAATTGATTTGGATTTATGGAAGCCGAGATCTCGCAAAAAGAGAAGGCTATCAGCAAGCAGCAAATCTAACAATACAATTACACATCCTAGTTACACGACCACAAGGATGCAACAGATTCCCAATAGAAAACAAGCAACAAACAAACTGAGCATGATAAACAAAGGAAGTCAGAGCACATACAACTATACAAGACCAAAAAAAAATGATAAATCCAAAAGTAAAGGGAAAGAAGATGCTAAATCACTAAAACCTGGAAACTTCAAAAGACATGACAAAAGAATAGAGAAAGGCCGAGATTAAAGGAGTTTTTAAGTCAAGGAAATGGAAGAATACTGGTAGACACAGGGTTTGCACCCAAGGAACCTCAGTACTGAAGATCTAGGATCAGTGCATCATCTTGGAGCTCTTGTGCACCATACAAAAGTAGGCTTATTTGGAAATTTCTTGTTTTGTCCATCTAAGCAGGCTTCCTTATCACAGAAACAGCTCTTGTGCGGTTGAGTGTGTCCCATGATCATTTTTAAAAAATTGTAAACTTCTTAGTGCTTATCCAGTTGAAATTTGGAAGTAATACTACCAATGAAGTTGTTTTCACATAAAGTTATACAACTCCTAAGATGTGAAATGTTGTTTGGTTGATCAAGGAAGTAAAATTTCCCAAGGGAAGTTCCACTTGCCTAGGAAAGATAGGTAAGCAACTTCATTATGTAACTCCTATGACAACCAAAGCCACTCCACAATGCCATATTATGTCAACCACAAGCACTTCTAAAGTTCTAACCTTTGTGAGGAACCTTTGTGAGGGACTAAAGGTACTGCACCAACTAGCTTTCTTCATTAATGTGGGTGATTTGACGCAAAATATTACACAACCTTTCATTTACTATGTGCAAGAGTTGTGTTTTTATGCCTTCTCTACACAAGCTGACAAGGCTTATCCAAGAATTTAAATTTCAATAGTCCTCATAATTTTCAAAGCACTAGATCTTTGGCCTTGAGATCTCTTCTTTTGGCCTTGAAGCATCAGTAGTAACCATACCATACGCAGCTGTTTCCACTTCAGATCTGGGACTTTTGTATAGCAGTGCAACTATGTTGAACTCCAAAGAAGGGGAATACAATATATCTATTTCAAGACTTCAAGACCTAACTCTGCCTAAACCAAACCGAGATCATGTTAAATAAAGCTTGTTAAAGTTAGCTACGGTCATCTCATGTTATACACTTATTAACTTATTAATAAATATCTAATTTCTATTCCAACTTGCAACCGAAAATGGTAATTTTATTATAAAACAATCTCGAAACTGAGCCAAGCGTTGATGTCTAAGACAAGGCCGAGCTAAAAATCTCAACTAATCAAGCCTCAATGAGCTTCAGGCCGAAATTTTAATTTTAGCAAACTCAAGGTCAGTTCATCTTGTACTCTGAGAGCAATCCTAGTTTTTGCATTTGAAACCAGGTGCATTGCATCGAGAATCTCAATTAAATTAAAACATTAAGTCCCTAACTAATGCTAACCAAAGAGCTTAAGAGAGGAATATATCAAATTGTTATCAGCCTACATCCTTATAAATATAAATAAGCAACATCACAGCCCGTCACTCAAGCAAGATATTATTAGCCAGAATGCATAGTCTATTTTAAATAGAAAGAAATTTTACAACAATAAAAAAAAAAGATATCAGCCAGAAATAATCTTTCACTGTGTAGTCTATTTTAAATAGAAAGAAATTTTAGCGCAATATATACAAAGCATAGCTCTACCTGCAAAACTTTCCATCTTTGCACATTTTTCCTGCAGGGTCTCAACAAATTGATGATAGGGTCGCCAACCACTAGGATCCTCATCTGTTTTTATATTCTCTGTTCGTCCTTGGATGTTTCTTAAGCTACATAGATCAAATAAGTGACATATTCTATATGTAATTATAAAGGGAATTTATAGATAAGACCACAATATAGAGCTAAAACTTACATGTCAGGGAGATCTGTGGGTGGAAGTTTCTCAACAAAGGGGATAACAGCACCAACTAAGAAAGACAGCCGCTGAGGTGGATCTGCAAAAGCATAATCTACACCATCCTTCACAATTTTCAGAATTTCCAATCTATGCTTACTTCTGGCAGCACCCACGATTGTTCCTGATAGCTGAAGAGCAAGTTCTTTGCAATCAAGAAAGGACTTGTTCGCAGATGATTTATCATCACTTTTAGAAAGTTGGAGCATATGCCTATGATGTGCCTGTCAATTCAATATAAAATTGAAAGTTTAAAATTGTGAATCATGTGCTCATAAAAAAGGTAATCTTTCCATTTCACATTATTTGAAGACTTTTAACTATTCTCATTCCATAATATTATCTGTCATTTAAAACATCAATGCACATTTATTTGTCCATTTGAAATACTAAGACACTATTACTTTACAACTAATAGACCAATGCAATAACTTATATCTCAATCTTTTTTCAATTGGATAATATTGGATTTTTGCATGACATAATCCGTTTGATCATTATTATTTATTACAAAGGAAAACATAGCCATGCGGGATCTTAATAGGTTTTTGACAATATGTATTTTCAAAGCATTGACATAATATAAATTTACTTATAGATACTCATATTTATTAATACTCAAAGTTGTGCATAGGCAAATGTGCCATGTCAATATGGTGCAAATTAAAAAGGAGCAAGTATCTTCGATAAACTTCTGCATAACCTAAATGACAGTTAATAAGGAATGGAGGTTGAATAAAATCATCTTTAAAACATCCAAAATATAACAGGATATAACATATTATCCAATCGCATTGTCAAAGCTGCAGATTTCAGCCAAACTTTGCAATATAAACTACATGAAATTTAAGAAAATGTGTTTTACAGCTCGGCCCATCATATCCTCTTCTACAAAAATTTATTCTTTTTTTACATTCAAATTATAAAATCATGACTCTTTTCCGGAACAAAGTGAATGTTACAAATATTATATCATTACAAATGATTCTAAACTCACTCCACCTGTCAAAAACTCAAAATCCATAAGAACAACAAAGCAATTCAATGATAAATGGATAATAATATTAATTAGAAACCAATTAACAAAGTCTTACCCTTTTTAGTGCTTCGAGATATATACCAAAGATATTCTCATCTTTTTTCCTTAGAACAGCTATTAGCTGCTTAACCACCTCAGCTATGTTGCTCCCATGCATTACAAAATGAGAAATAATCTCGGGAGCAAGGTACTCCTGGATCAAGATTACAAAGATATACTAACATGAACAGCCTTTTTCCAATGAAAATACCAAGTGAACTGATAAATAATAGGTATGGACACAATATCAAGCAGCATACTAAGCAGCTGGGCAAGTTTTAACAGTCAATAGCAATGACCTAAAGAAAATGAAACGTCAATTTATCAAATCTTCTAAGTCTTTACCATGGAAACCACATCGCTAGTAACCAACTTCCCAGCAGCAATAACAACGGCATCTCGAGTTGTCTCTTCCACATACTCTCTGTTAACATCTTCATCTTCAGTCTCATCTGCAAGAAACACTAGATTAGGAAAATTGATTCTCAAAAGTCAAAGTTTGGAACCAAGATCATACTACCATATAACCCCTATCCTCCAGTGAGTCCCCTACATAGGGTTGAGGAAATAAGGGCTCAAATATGTACTCTCAGATTGCAAAAAGGCTCTTAGATTTCCTTACAATGGCTTAGAGACATGTTCATATGATGAGATGTTGGATGCTTACAGAGGATATTTCTATTAAACTTGATCTGAAAGACGATAAACTAGCCTACTACTTCATAACAAATAGGAAGAGGAAGAATTTGTGAGTCATTTAAATTTTATATTATCCCCAATGCTACCTGTTTTATGCCGCTTTATGGTACAACAAACAAGTATGGAAATGCAATCTGCTACCTACTTCTCTGAAGCTAGTCTAAAAGTGTTAAACACTAATAAAGTCCACAAAGACAGCAAGTAATTAGGTAGAAAACAGTATAGTCCCAATTGAAAATTGACAATTGCTTAAACAATGTAGTAAACTGATAACTCTTTGATATAATGCATACAGCCCGAATTCTTTATCACTTTTGGATTTCAGATCTTCGATGTTTGATTGTGACATTTATGCAAAGAACCAAATATTTCAGATACTTTTTCAAATATAGGAGATCCGAAATCCAAAATTCAACATCTGATATGGTATCCGATATATCAGATTTCCAAAAGAATTTGGATTACATATGGATCGGGTGTTCAGATTTTCAATTGGTTTTGCTCATTCCTAATATTGTGTCGCATTGAATATCCAACTTCTGTCTTGATGTTTAATTTTGCTTTTGGGTCAAACAGTAAAATTAGAGGTAACGATTCAATGAGTTATCATGATATTATGTCCCACTAGAGGGAACTTAGAGGGCGGTTTTTCCTCCCCCTCCCCCCTCCAAAGTTTTTGGACAGTTGTGATTGGCTAGGCTATCTCTGCAGATAGGAGGTCCAGCCCAAGGCCCATAATTGTAACTACACAAATTTGTACTGGGTATGTATACTCAGGTTAGGTTTCCAATATCGTCATTAAATCGAATCAATCATGTATCAAACCGTGGTGACTAGTTAAGGAGTCAGAAAAGAACTTACTCGATACATCAAGCTGCTGTTCACAAAGTTTCCAAAATTTCTCAAGAGTAGACTGCTGTGGCTGAAATCCCAGACTTTCCAGGGCAGTAGAAGAGAATCTAGATTTTCTGAATAAGCACCAGAGCTCAGCAAGTATTGTACAAACCTAGTGCACAATATGGGATGATGGGATCAAGTGAAACAATAGTTTCGGCATCAATAAACCACATGACAAAAATATTTGGATAGCTAATTAATTAGAAGCAAACACTATGAAAGGAAAAAAAAAAAAAGAAAAAAAAAAGGAAGAATTTACTCTGCAAGCAAGCTGATTTCCTAGCTTCATTTCGGCTCCAACTTGAGAAGGCAGAAGAATATACTCTACTTGCTTTAATAAAGTAGCACGTTTAGAGAGTAAAGACTTAACAGACGCCTCATTAACAGATTCAGAGCTCACAGCAGAGTAGAGACACCAATTTATGTGAAGAAACATATTAAGCAGCAGAAAACAGTTCACCTGTGAACAATGATGAAACAGATTCAATTAAAATTTAAAACCACAAAATAGCAAAGGAATTTGACATAAATTGCTCATTTGAGCTTTATTACACACCTCCTCGTCTACATTTCTGAAATTATCAAGCATGGAGGCAAACTCTTCATACAAGTTATCAATAGTAACAGATCTCGACAATTGAAGCTCGTAAAGCCTTTTTAAGTTCACAAGAAGAGGATATTCATCATCACCATCCTGTTGGGGAGACAAATGGGGAGGAGGAAAGGGAAAAAAAATCAGACTGAAGTCTTTATATCCAAAGAAGGAAAACTAATATTTAGAATGAGAATACCTCCACTTCTTTCATAGCAGTCTTGAGTTTTTCCACAAGCTCATCTTCAAGTTCCTTTAGTTTATTGTTTGCAAATTCTTGCAGCTCTCCCTTACTCTCCACTGAACAAAAGTTCATAGCCTTAATGCAAGACCTAAGTGTGTCTTTATCTCCATGTTTAAAAAATGCCTCCTTCATCAGCTGAAGTACAGTCTTGAAATTCTAGAAGACAAGAGAAGTACAATGTCTTTTCAAGAACTAAAATTTCCTTCAAGTAGCATAACTTAACAAAAGAGAGCATATCACTAACCTGTTCCTGTCTCTTCAGAGAATAAAGCTCAAGATCCATATACAGAACAATTTCAATCAACGATGGGGCTTTTGCCTTGTCCACCACGTATTTCCGCAGAAGCTGGGGGTAGTTTTTCATCATCACTACAGTTACTTCCCGCTTATTGGTTACAAAAACTTCCTGAAACATACAGAAATATGTACTGACAAAAGAAGAATAGAGTAGAGAAAGCTAGTTTCTTTAATAAAAGGTTAACTGGAAGCTTCTATACAGAATGGAAAACCTTTTGAGCCTTGGTATAGTATTGTTTCCGATTATCAGTTGCAGGTACAATCCTCTCCCCAACAGCCTTCTTGACAGATGCACAAAGGAGCCGGATCAAATTTGTCGCATCAATTTCAGTAAGCTCAATTGACGGATTTTCATCCAGTAGTGCAGAAATTATGCACTTCCAATCCTATGAAAGACATATCAGATAAATTATTACCTTATCCATTAGAACATAGAAATGTCATTAAAATGGTAAAAAGGTACAACTTTGAAAAACACACTGATCACAATTCAGACTATCATCTCTTACTTTCATGGCCGGCATGTACTCCCAGACATCATCAATGACATAAGTTATTAGAATAGGATCACTTGAGAATTCTCTCAGTATTTGTAACATTCTACTAAGAGTAACTAAAGAAGACTCGCTATCTGCATCAATATACCATGAAAAGAATAAACAAGAATGTCTCAACATAAAGTAAAACCCAAGTTGAATAAAATGAATAAGAGAAAACCTTTTGGATGAGACTGCGAACTGTTAAATTTTTGTGCAATCAAGTGATCATAGACCAGCTCCCCTATAGCACGCCTAATTTCTGGGGGCTCAACAACAAGCAGATCATACAAAGGACCCAAGTGATCGTCCAGTAAAAGCTGATGCCTGGAAGGACATACAAGATACGTCATAAACACAAGCAATTACAAGCTAAATTAAAGTAGATTTTCTAATTGAAGAAATGAATACCTCAGCAATTGTTTAACAAGTCCTATGGCACACACGGCGACAGAGACATCAATGTCATCAGCCAATTCGATCATCCTATTGGAGAATCTTTGGGTGAAGAGATCCAGGGATGGAACATTATCATCCACTTCATACAGGCTTTGCAACGCAATAACAGAAGCTTTTCTCACACCAGCACTCTTCATACATGAAAGCCAAAGAAATGGAAGAAGATAAAAGGAAGTTGAGTAAGACCTTCAGATAGAATACAACGCAAATTTTCGACACAATAAGTCTCTCAGCCACCCTTATAAACAATTCTCCCTCCGTTCCTTTTTATTTTATAAATGTTTCGTTTCGGGCATTACCCGTTTGGGATTTCTTCCTAATAGAACCCAAGGAAGGACCCCTTTTTTACGTTTCTTTTAATAAAATACACAATATAATAACATTATCTCTACTTTTCCCGTAAAAAAATGTGCCCAACATCAATTTTATATTCATCCAATATTTCTGTTGCATCTCCTAAGGCTCCCATTTTATTAACATAAAACTAGATCTGTCATTTTAAATTATTATTAAAAACGAGTTCCACCTTAATTATTCCTAATCAACATGCACATAAAGAATAAAAGGAACAAAGAGAGTTAAAATAAAGGAAAATTTGTTAGAAAAAACCTTTTAAAAGCACCATTTTGAGGAAAAAAAACCTTTTAAAAGCTTTTTGGTTTAAAAAAACCACCACATTCATTTTTTTGCGAGAGGAAACCTATTTCCTTAATCACCCTCTAATTAACTTAATTAGACTCTAATTTTTCTTATTTCTTCTAATTAACCTCTAACCCACCAAATTATTAAATAATTAGATTTAATTTATATATATATATATATATAAAAACAAATTAAAAAAAACCACCACCCCTCCCCTTCCTCCTCCCTTTCCCCCTGCCTTTCCCTCTCCCATGGCAGCAACCCCCTTCCCTCATCGGACCCGCTGCCCAGATCCCCCCACCCCCGGCGACCTCCTCCACCGCCGAACGACCCCCCTTTTTCCCCTTATCACCGCGGCGACAACCACCTCCTTGATTTTGAAAAACCCTGGAAATTCGATTTGGGGGTTTTTAATTTTGTGCATCTTGCTTGTAATTGATGCTTGTTTTTGCTTTGATTATGTATGTATGTGATGCTAAGGTGATTTAGAAGCAACTTGCAATTGTTTTGGACTTGATTTGAGCATGTTTAAGTAGATTAGAACCAAAAAATTGAAGGGTGGTGGTGGTTGCCAACGGGGATAAGGGGGAAAGGGAGGGTCAACCGGCGGTGAAGGTAGGTCGCCGGAGGTGGGGGGATCTGGGCGGCGGGTCCTGTGGGTGAGGGGGTTGCTGCCAGGGGAGGAGGAAAGGGAGGAAGAAGGGGAAGGGGTGGTTGGTTGGTTGCAGGGGTGGTGGTTTTTTGATATATAAATTAAATCTAATTATTTAGTTATTGGGTAGGTTAGAGGTTAATTAGAAGAAATGAGAGAATATTAGAGTCTAATTAAGTTAATTAGAGGATAATAAAGGAAATGGGTTTCCTTTCGCAAAAAAAAATCAACGTGGTGGTTTTTTTTAACCAAAAAGCTTTTAAAAGGTTTTTTTTTGCAAAATAGTGCTTTTAAAAGGTTTTTTCTGACAAATTTTCCTAAAATAAAAGCAGATTGAAAGCACCTTGTCATTCAACGTCCATCCAAGATACTTCAGATATCTATCCTGCAGGAACAGCGACGGATAAGACAATATCCAGACACCCAAAGACTGTATGCAGGACACTCGGATATTGGGATCAATGTCACGATATCGATGCATAAATAGCCTACAAAAAGAAGTCACCATGTCAATATAACCATATCTGAGTTTGAAAGCAATCTTTTAAGGATAGAAACATACACCAAAAATCAGTTTCAATAATCACAGCATCTATTCTTCTTGAACCTGGAGACCATCTGACACTGCAATCAGTAGATGATTTGCCTAAAACTCTAACTCACCACTCCTTTTTGTTTTAATTTAAGATCCAAAAAATGCCAGTATTATTTTTACCATTGGCAGTATCGACCTAAATTCAAGTGCATGGCTATAGAACAATAACTGACAAAGGGATGCAAAAACAAAAAAAAAAAACAAAGAGAAAAATCAACAGAATGGGAGCACCTCCCAAAGAGGTAACACAGCACAAAGCATAGCTGGTGATGGCCATTGAGGTCAACAATTTAAAAAAAAAAAAAAAAAAAAAAACAGAAGAGTTACAAGTCAACCCTCCACAATCTTGATAGAGTTGGACTGTAGAACCATTCAGGTGTGCACACTTAGACTCCAAGCTCTGCTTTGCAAGTCTTCAGCAACATCCGAGTGTATTAAAGTTTGAAATTATATCAGGCAAGCACCACATGTATTAGAACAAAGTTGTTTTAACGATTTTATGCGCCTAAAAATGATATAAATTTAATATCTAGAGTTCATTTCGAACAGTATAGAGGGAAGTTTATCTTATAAAATAGGATTAATAATAGGAATCAGCATATCCATTCAAAAAAAAATCCAAATTTTTGCATTATCATAAACCCTGACAACCAAATTTAAATTCTTCAAAATTATTTGATGTCCATGTTATTCTGGTGGTTGTGCTTGTGCACCAGCACTGAGAAAAAGAGCTAGAAAATTTTCAAAAACCCTACCCTTTAAATATCTTGTCCATCATCTCTTCTATTGCAGTTATCTTTTCATGTGTAGTCATCAATCTCTTATTGAGAGATTCTGCTCGAGGGCCTTCTGCTCTTTTCTTGTTTTCAGCATTTAGCTGCCTCTGAGTGGTTTCACGCTGTGATCCGAGCATTTTCGCAATGGTGATGAATGATGTGACAAGCTGAAGGCCAACCAAAGAAGCCACTTGGCGATAAATTCGAGGCGGGGTACTAAAAACAAAAGATAAGCAAGTTAGCGAAATAAAGTGGCTACAATCTGTCAAACAACACAAATCAGTCTTAACATAACTGACCATGATAGAGCAATCACATAATCTGTGCACTTTTCAAACAAAACACCATCGAATAATGGTCCACTCTGACATTCAATGATCAAATTGTCCCAAAAGTAAACAAGGTTATCTTTTAAGTTGTTGAAGTCCTTTCTTTTTGAACTTTGGTAATCCTCAACTTCACCCTGAAAAAAAAAATAGAATTATACTTAGAGATCATTGGACTATTTAAAGGTAATAATAAAGATTGATTCTTAAAACTTGATTCTGAGAAATAAAGAGCTTGATTCTTAAACTAAATTCTGAAAAATAAAGAGCTTGATTCTTAAACTCAATTCTGGAAAACAATGAGCTTGATTCTTAAACTTATTTCTGAAAAACAAAGAGCTTGATTCTTAAACTTCTAGAAAATAATCTTGGTAAAAGCTAAATAGACTATAACAGTTAAAAAAATGAGGATACCTTTCTCGCAAGATTGACCAAATCAAGCACTACATTGTCAACATCAGTCTCCTCAAACGGGTCACCTTCTATGCAATACTTTGCACCACATGACTGCAAAATTAAAGCGTATTAAGCTTATCTTAACAACAACAAAGATAGGGTATCAGCAACTTTCTTCCCCATCAAAATTAGATGTACAACTAATGTAGCTTGTGAATGTTCTCTGATAAGCCAAAGTGGATACAACTAACTGTTATCTTCCAAATGACTGTGGATTTATTTAATTACCTCAAACAACATATTCAAAAGGTCTACAGTTGCTGGTTTAGGATCCTTTTCATAACGCTCAACCCAAATCTTGACCACTGGAGGTATATTTTTCCTGCTCCCTTTGATGGCCTCTGCACGTAACAATTATACCATAAATCATACACGGGAAAAACTATTGTTGAAACGAATTTTCTGCAGCTAACAAATAATAACTGGCTAGCTTTATCGGTTGACTACTCACTACTAACTGCAACAGAACACTCACATAGACTGACAAAAGCACAATTTTCTCCCACCCCATTGAAGCCAAGACCTTTTTAACAAGAGCAATTGAATTAATAAGCACCATATTCTTATGATAACTAAACATGGACCACAAGTCAATATGCAAATATGCCAATGTTCTCCTTGATTACACGAGGAGGACAGCGTAGTCCTTGATACTTAACACTTTTTGTTTCTATCACTTAAAATTGACACGTCCCCTCTATTCTTGAGCGGCAACGGAGATGCAAATAAATTCCTCATCATATCAAAACCCATGGCAAATTCTATAACCTCAGCTTCTCAAGTTCTCATAGAGGTCGAATACTCATTTGGCATGGGTGAAACAGCATTCGAAACAAAGCATCAAGAAATACTTTGCAGCATAGTACCTATCAAATAATGGTCCACTCTAACTAAAGCTAAGCAACATAAAACCAATCGAATTGCAATACTAAAGTGAGAAAGAAACTAGTAACAACAACAACAACAACAACAAAAAAAACACACACACACACGCGCGCGCACAAGTCCAAAACAAATCGCATTAATAGTCCAAAATAACAAAGTAAACCTAAATCAATACAATTCTAACACAATTATCCCAATTATCAGTATGACACCACAATAATCGAAATTGAAAACCCTAAATCAAATCAAACTTACCAATCAAGCTAATCTGTTCAAAATCAACACTGGCAGAAGCCTCAACAGCGCGATTCCGCTTAGCTTTAGGGCGAACCTCCTCAAAATCGTCGAAAGAATCATCAACATCGGGATCAGTAGGACTTTGCTCAACAATAGGTTCTCGATTAAATTTCCCAGCCCTAGCTCGTTTCTGCAAACATCCACCACTACAGAAATCATTCAACAAAGAAGGAGAGAAAGAGGAGAGAAGAAGTGTTGAACTGACCGAGCGACGAACTGATGCTTCGGAAGTGGCGGCGGCTGCTGCTGCTGCGGCTGCGGCAGCGTCGTCCATGACTGAAGTGGTGGTTGTTTCGCCGGAATTACGGTTGAAGGAAGACGAAGGAGGAGAGAGAAAGAGAGAGTGGTGTAACGCTTAATTTAGAGGTGTGTGAAACTTGCTATGCAATTTTTGTGAAATCGGAAAGTTGCTAGTGTCGAAGTTTTTTTACACTGAATTAGCTCCCGCCATTTCCCATTTTTCAACAAGTAATGCCTAACTAGTCTTTAACTCGTGCAACGGTGTAATGTGGCATTTATGTTTATTAGCAGAAATTATTAATTAATGGTCCATTCGGTATCGTTATGAGAGGTGATACATATACAAGTATTGTATTGTATGTGGACTTGTTAAAAAAAAATAAAAAATGTTGTAAGTGTTGTATGTGATCAAACATACACTAATTAAAATTGATAACACAATATTAGCTTACAAAAATGAGAGGGACCATTGAGTAGGAAAAAAAATTTGGTTTATGGCGCCATTTATCAGAAGTAGAAGGGATGAGTTTCATTGGCGCTAATTTGCCAAACAATCTTGTTACTAAAAGAATATTTTACATTACTAATAAACACACAATTTTGTTACTGGAGATCATAGCATCATAGTCAGGCCCGTAGCAAGGGCAGGGCAGCTGGGGCAACCGCCCTAGGCCCCAACTTGAGAAGCCCAAATTCACTTAATAAAAGGCCCAAAAAAAAGCAAAAATAAAAAAAAATACAAAAACTAAGCAAGCGTAAAGTCAGAGAATATCAAAACCTATTTTTGGTTCATCTCCCTAATTTTTCGCCCAAAAATTTCACTTTCCAAAGTGAATAATTTGATTCACCCCTTAAAAGAGCAATCATTAAATTATAATCCCCTTCTTTTGATAGTTTGATTTTCCAAAATTGTATCTTTTTCCATTTCTAGTCAAATGGTTTAAGTGAAGTTGAAAATTTTCAAAAACGATCGTTTCACTCTTTAATTTTCAACGGGCATTAATCTAATTGTATATAATCCGGCTCGGCCTCCTTGCAATCTTACATGTCCTCCATCACTCGTTAAATTTTTCTTCTTTCCATTAATATTTCGTTAATCTGTATAATTGATTTGAATGATTCATTCAAAAAATTTAATATTGGGGAATACATTGATTGGATGGTTGGCTTGAACCACTATCGAGGAAGCGATGATCGTAATTTGTAAGTTCATTTTTAAATCATAATTATGAATATGTAATTTTATATTTGTTTACTTTAAGAATATTTGTTTAATTTTCCTAGTAAAAAATCAATTTTCGATGTTTGGTGGCTGCGAGGGAGAGTTTTGTGGGGTGGTGATTTTGCGGTTAGGGGATTATATATAAAATTTGATATTTATAAAAGATTGTTAATCACTTAATCATTTTTTTTTTTTGAAGAATGTTAATCACTAAATTATTAAATATGTATCCGGGAGAAATCAAAATAAAATTGCATACCCAATTTTTCATAATATTATTATTTTTTATTATTTTGTTAATTAGGGCCCCAATTTATATCTTTGCCTCGGGCCACCAAAATCTCAGAAACGGGGTTGATCATAGTCAGCGTCATTGATGAAAATAGATGTTTTTTTTATAAGAATCGAATAATACTTCATTTGACGATATTTTACAAACTATAGATAAAAAAATCATTACAAAAAAAACCAATGAAATTATTTTTTAATGATCTTGCTATAGACACCCCTATCGATATATTTTCGAAAATATTATGAAATTGGACAATTTTAACCTTACTATAGTTTGTGATCTTATTAATAAGTGTTCATAATTAGTCACTATTGTTACTACGAATATTTCAAACATACAAAAAAAGCACGTATTATATTTTTATTACTTGTACATATAAAGTAACCATATATATAAAAAAAAATTTAAAAATAAAAAAAAGTTAACCATATAAAAATAAATAGGTGTTGGATACAATTATACAATCATCAAGTATTGTACGGATATATTCATACATTGGAGGGTTTAATTCATCCGTTGAATTGTTTAAATCGGATAATTGAGATTTAAAATGAAATCACGAAAGGTTACACAAAATTATTATGTAATACCCCGTATTTTTGAAACGTATTTTCTAATTCATTAATTAATTATTATTTTCTAAAAAGGGTATTTTAGTAATTTATTTTACTATTTGAATTTTGGAGAAAAAATGATATTTGAATTTTGGCGCCAAAAGTATTTTAAAACTTAATTATTATTTTTGGATTTTGGATAAGATTCATTAATCCATTTATTTTATTTTAAAAACCGAATTATTTATATATATTTTGGATATTTTAGTTAAGCAAAAAAAATTATATTTTATTATTTAATTAAGAGGTACAAAAATTCCTATTGATTGGCTATTAATATCAGATTTTTCTACTGTGGGAAATTTGATTTTCTTAGTTAATTTATTTAGTGAATAATTGGTATTCTCTTAATTAATTATTTTATACAACATATATTATTTACACAATCATTTTAATCCTTAAAATCTAGCAAAATAACTTCCTAAACTCTACTAAAGAGGTCCGAAAATTTGAGCTATGGAAGCTCAAAATTTTCGGCCATCTTGTGATTTTTGGGTAATTTATTTTGGTAATTTGTATTTTTAATTATCTTCCCTAAATTTATTATTTTTCCTTAATTCTTATTTTCCATCTCCTAAATATTTGATCATCTTATTTTCCTACCTTATATCATCCTTGATTATTCCCCAAGCAAAGCCATTTACCATATTATTTTTCATGACAACATACTTTCCATAAATTAATTATTACTTAGTCACCTTAATATTAAACTTTCCATAATACTTTAGCTCTCTTCTCCAAGTAATTTCCTTAATTCTTTTTACCATAATTCTTCCTACATTCTCTTACCATAATTCTTGCATGAACAAGCCTATAAATACCCCTTGAATTATAGCTAAACACTCACACCAAATTCTCTAATCTTCTCTCTTAATCTCTCTAATTCTCTCCTCTCTTTCTCTTGCTCTTGCACGACCACCACCACCAATCACCACCTCCACGGCGACTGCCACCCTCCCCGGCGCCAGCCACCACCTCAGCAGCCACCTGCCGCCCCTCCTTGCCGCCACCTTTCTTCCTCTTTTCCTTGGTTTTCAACCTCTTCTTCTTCTCTTCTCTTAATTAATTATATTATTATTATTATTATTATTATTATTATTATTATTATTATTATTATTTTATAAAAATTATAATGAGTATTTTTAATTAAATATAATCAGATTTTTATTCAAGTTTATGAAAAATAATTTATAAGGTTCATGTACATATAGTTGGGGGTTTTATTTTATTGTTGTGATTATTTGTTAGCCTTATATTGATTAAGGTTATATTTATTTGTAGGGTGTGTTTGACAAGAGTGATTGAAGTTCCTTTTTTTTGTATTGCTAGCAAGGATCAAAGGTACGTTTAGGTAGCTAGATACCTTTGAAATTGATTGGATTGAATAAGCATATTTTATATGATTTTTATGATGATTGAATTAAATTGAATTGAATTATGATTTATGAAATAAAAGTATGTTTAAAGAATTGGTTTTAATAAATAAATTAGGATTGATTTTATATCATGTTTTGAATAATTAAATTATTTATCATGTTTTAAAAAGGCTTGATTTTGAAAGTATGTTGAAATTAAATAAAAAGGAGTTTTGAGTTGTTATTATAAAGATTGGAATTATTGAATTAAAAAGGATTTATTGAGCTATCATTATTAAAGCTTTACAAGCATGTTGATAGTAATCCCACTATGCGGATTTGGTTGATAAGACTTTGGACTTTGTATGACCGAGTCTTTCCTCAAGAATAGCCTTGCAATATAAGGAGACTAGCTTGGGGCGTATGCACACTTGGGTGAGGAATTGGATTTAAAAGAGGAATTGGTTTTATTAATCGTTTTATCAAATTATTGAATTATTGAAATTGGTTTTGAATAATGAGTTTGGATTATTGGATTAATTATTGGAATTGATTTTAAAAGCATGATTTGCAAATAAATTGAGTTTATCTTGCACTTATCGTACTTAGCATATTTTGCTAATCTGTATTTCCTATTTATTTTGGTTCGTCCTGTTTACCTTAATGGTAAGCAATGTTGACTATTTTCAGGTGGAGTCAATAATTGAGCATATGGGAGTCCCGGGTTATGCTTCACCTAGATCTAGGAATGTTGGTCTTTGTTTCTATTTTTAGTAATCATAACATTGGTTACTATATTCATTAATAAAGAAAGAGTTTGAGTTTTCGCTGCGAAGTTGTGGTTTTTAATTAGAAGTTTGAGTAGCCTTGCGTAATCATGTGGCGATAATACGCCTAAGTCTATCTCTACTGTATAATTATACATATTATACTAGTATTTCCGTAGAGGGAGATTTGGGGGTGTTACATATTATCACTTATTGCTAAATACTCTCATGTGTTTATTACTAATCTGATCAAACATAATCTTGCATTGTTACCGATTTTTGCGGGAGATTACAGATTAAAAAGTGCTATTTAATAAATTTTATTTGATAATCACATAAGATACACAGTTTCGGGTACTATTTTTCTAAACCTTCATTACTAGTTTATGTGAAAGATTAGAAAATTGATAATGATGACAAATGAACCTAAGTTGTATTTTATAAAGTTCGTTGTTTGAGTTTAATAGTATTTTTTTATGTGACATTTGACTTAAATATTGTTATTTTATTGTGATTGTATATCTCATCATTTACAATATGATTACATCTATACATAAATATATTAAAACACACACAATATATACCTTAGCTTAGTCCTCCTCTCCATCTACATCTTTAGCCTTAAGTTATCCGATTTTCAAACAATAGTAACAATAAATAAATTAGAGGTCTTAAATATAATAACGATAGACATTGATTTGCCAATTCCAAGATGAAATATGAACACATTGTTGTAGACGTTCCTAATCTACTCCATGTATCTTACTTTAAAAAAAAACAAAAAATATTCGTACATCGGTGTGTTACACACAATTACTATCATTTACAACTTATTATTGTTAAATACTCCTATGTGTTTACATTTTAATTCATTAATCAGAATTGCAGTACTAAATAAGTTGGTTTAAATTAATATTTTTTTTATTTTATTTTATCATATTTATGGATACTAGTTTACTTAATACAGAGTATTAAATATGTGAAAAAATGCTAGTTTGCTTATAGT